TTACATGACACAAAAAGGACAGTGTCTTGATATAAATATTACTTAAGGTCTGTTAGGATGAGGTACGTGGTGTTACATGACACAAAAAGGACAGTGTCTTGATATAAATATTACTTAAGGTCTGTTAGGATGAGGTACGTGGTGTTACATGACACAAAAAGGACAGTGTCTTGATATAAATATTACTTAAGGTCTGTTAGGATGAGGTACATGGTGTAACCTAAGACCTAAGGTATTAGACTAGGGCTACATCCACAGCTACTGCAACATAAACCCTGCATTCTGATATCAAAGGTCGTAGTCAAAAATAATATACCTTACCTGACAGTATGAATCTGAGAGTGTGATGACTTGTGGCAAGATTTCCTTGACATGTAAATCTTGTAGTTCATACCACTTGTTAGCACCCTGAGAAATAAAGGAATCCATTCATTGAGTCCCTTCGCTATATTGGTAAAATTATTTTAAAGAAACACAAACCAATTTAGGCTAAATCTTCTTTCCACTTCTGTTTTCCATCAAATTTCCTTCTTGAGAGGTGAAAATTTGACTGAATCAGAAGCTGTGGCTGTTAGAAGAGACTATCCTCTTCCATATTTGACTTGAAATATTATATATTTCACTAAACTGTAAGTATCATTGGAGTATTATTTACAGAAAAACAGTGTTCAGTGTAGTTTGTCCACTCTCCTGCATGGACTACAGTAACAACAGTTTATGTTATGGCCAGAATACACCATTGTTATAGTTTTAGGCAATTTGCACAATGGCATCACATACTACGAAGACCAAGATGCTTATTGCCTCATTTCTTTTGTTGTAATTAGTACTACCAGAATGCTTTTCGTATTTTCTTTGTTATACATATTAATCTAATCCCTCTGGAGTTTAGTAAAATACTTGGGACTAATCACATTACAAAGGAAAGTGGGCAAAGCATTCTGGTCTTGGAGGTATGAGATGCCATACTACAAATTGCCTGTTTTTAATCAAGTTTATTAATAGATGTTTATTTATGCATTATGTCCTAACTCACCTTATGTAGCACAAACAGCCTGTATGTACCACCCTCTGTAAAGTTAAAAATCACAAAAATAATCAAAAAAGATTTGCATTAATGTACAATCTTGTGATTGACAGCCTTTGTTGCAATATGATTCATCACCTTGCACATCCACCATTTTTGTCCTCCACTAGCCTTCTCCACAGGCAACACTTTTCCCTCATTTGGGCTTCCTCTGTAATGGTCATATTGACCACTAGGAACTAGTGATAAGAAGGAAAAAACTTCCTCATTCATTCCCATTCTCCCTCTTCTGGCTCCAAGAAAAAGACAGGAAGCCCATGTCACTTAGTGATGCTTGTGAAGGAGGCTAGTCCTGCACTGCATTTCCCATTTTGAAGCTTTTATAATTATTATAATATATAAAATGTAAACACCAACCTGGATCTCCTTCATGGCAGATGTTTGCTATCAGGTCATAGGTTGTACGAGGGTGTGCATCTTGAACTTTAGGATCACTTGAAAGGTACTCCGCCATATCAATACCCCTTATAATATATATTTATCAACAAAACATTTTATTAAATATCTAACATGTAACAGCACTGGTTGGATTAACAAACACAAAAGAAATTACAAAAAAAAAATTCTAAAATTATACTCCAGACTATTTCTTATAGCTTTTTATCTATTTTCACATGATTTTAGAGCTTTTTTCTTTGTTGTTAATTTTTAAACATTTATTCAAGACCCCATTGATAACACAACTACTATTGAATGGGCTATAACTGCTGTATGAAAATTAATTATACAATAGCAAAACGTTTTGCCTCAGTAGTAACTGACACTAAGGAATCAAGAAGAGGCGACATGTATAAAGCTCAGTCAAATTGTGAAAAGACAAAGACGCACAGCAACTCGTCTTGATTCTTTTGTGTTTGACTACTGACTAGAGTTGAAATTCTCAAATTGGCTATTACATGTATCAGTCCATCATTATTATCATCAGCTAGTGGTAGCATTACTGAGCATTATACTCACTTAACAGGAAAGTTGACAACAGTTGGGTTTTTCTCTGTAAAGAAGGTGTTCTTTGCAAATCTCTATAATCATTGTAAATAGAGGATTTCAAATCTTACAGCAAAGGTAACTGTCTATAAGGCTAGCAGAAAGTCAAAGGAGATTGGAACCACCTTTTCCCCTACGCTCCAAAATACTCAATTTGTTTACAGACAATGTAATCTCACCTTAAAACTCATGATCAAATAGCGTGGTAGCTTTGTCAGTTCAAATTTCTTAATAAATAATTCTTTGTA